GAGGAGTGGCTGGTGGATTTGAACCACCAGCCTTCTGGTTAGCAGTCAAGTGCCTTAGCCACTGTGCTACCAGAGCTTATATATATATATATATACACAGATATATACAGTCATATATTGAGAGCCTTTCAACCTGAAGGGTCATCTTCTGGGCTTTATCAAGCAATGTGCCACTTCTGTTCATAAGACTTTCATTAGCCAGTATTTTTATAAATAAATCTTCAGGACCTTTTTCCAGTCTCTCTTTGTCTGAGAGCTCTGGTGAGGCGATCCAACATTTTTGACCCTGCTAGTGTTTGAAATGGGAGCTCTGGTAGCATAGGGGCTAAGGCACTTGACTGCTAACCAGAAGGCTGGTGGTTCAAACCCAACAGCCACTCCGTGGAAGGAAGGTTGGGCAATCCTACTTCCGTAGTGATACTGCCTCGGAAACCCAAGGAGGGGTCGCTGTGAGTCGGGTCCGACTCGACAGCACATAACAACAACAACAACAGTGTTTGAAATGCTGAAAACACAGCTTCCAGCATCATAGAAACATACTGGCCACCACAGTATGAGTAAGTGACAGATAAGAGATGTGGAGAAGGTTTCTATCCATTATAAAATTATTTCCATTTAATATTACAATTTACCTACTGTGTAAGCATTCTACAGAGTCTCAAAACCCAATTCCGCACCACTCCAATCCACATGTGTATGCCTCTCATTCAGCCATATTGCCTTCTCAAAATTAGGATCTGCCATATGTGCACATATTTATAAATAACAACATTTCTTCTCATTATTCAGTTTTATTAAGTATATATTCAAGCTTTCTCCTTAGATATTAAGTACAAAAGAATCTTCAAATTTCTCAGTAAAGTGATCTCTGAACCTGGACACTGTCATAAATTGTATGTAAAAGGTTGAGACAAGTCATAATTCCCATATGTTTCACTCTATCCAAGGGGGGCAGGGGAAGACACATTTTATTGAGAATTCAAGAGTTCCAAACACAAAGAAATGCAAAGAAATATAGTTGGGTGGAAGGTGAGTCTTTTCTAGGTAATCAGATATCAGGTTCCATCGAGGATATTTGCTGAATTTATGCGTGGAATGGCTGTGATTGGCCTAATATCAATGGAAAGTCTCTCCTCTTGTTAAGAAACTAGATGAACTTGTGACTGAATGGCCACATGCAATCTGATGATTCCATAGAAGTACTCAATACAGAGGGAATTTTACCATGTGCCTGGTTTCTGTGGGGAATATTTGCTGAGAGTACAGTGGTGGGAGGGGTTGGTATTGAAACCAAGTACTATTTCCCTCACCCTGATTAAGACTGATAATTAGATAAGACCCTGAATGGGAACAGATAAGTAAACTAAATTACCCCCAACTATTTTCTGGACAGATGAGTCTTCAGTTCCTTAAAGAACTGAATGGAAAACATTCCTTCCTGCAGATGATAGACTTGCTAAAAGTATTTTAGAAATTACTTGTAAATTAACTCTGGCCAGGACAATAGAAATGTTTTAGAAACAACTTGTAAATTAACTGTGGCCTGGGGACATGCACAATCGGACAGAAGGAACAAAAGTTATTTGCTGGACCCTCTCCCCTCTGCCCAAGCCCCTATCAGCTGATAACAGGAAACTAGTGTGACTCATCCTATAGTCACCCATTTCACATCCACGCCCTAAAATCCTCAACCTTTTGTGAATATGCACAACTCCCTCTCCTGAAACCTACAAAAACTGTGTTTCTATGGCATCTGGGGAGTTTAGATCTGGGTACTAAACTACCCCAACTCCTTATGCTGCTGCTTTGCAATAAATAATTTTATCTCCTCTCAATCTTGGTATGTAAACTATTTTGGCCTGACTGTGCACCGGGCGGGTCACATTCGGTCCGATAACAGGACTCTCCCAGAAAGCTGAGGGACCCCCGCTTCAGAATCTAGTTGGCCAGAGCCAACTGTCCTGGTGGACAGTGAGGTCTGTGCAATGAAAAACTTGTAAGATTCCCCTAAAATCCCTATCTCCTTTTTTCATGCTCTTGTAGATAACCATCATCTTGAGGATGTGTTGTTCTTAGTTACCTGCTTCCCACAAATAGAATTTGAAAAACTATTGCGACATTACCTCCTATTTAGTGTATAAAACAAATCCACTTTTCATCTTGCCAGTCCTCTCTTGCTCTCTTCCAGCTATGTCTTATGAAATGTAGCTTTCTTATTACCAGCTGCATGACGGAGAGGTATTTATGTCCAGAAGAAGAGTGAGGACTCTGGCCAAAAGTTTTTGAGGATCTGAATCCTCCCAATTAATGTGTGAATGATCTGGGAATCACTTCAGATGACTACAGTCATAACCACCATTTTGAATGCACCCTTCTTTTAGGTCCAGAGAAGTATTATTATTGTGTTTGTTTATTTTTTAACAGATTGTCTTGTTAATTATTTATTTATTTAGGTAAAAATATATGTAACCAATAGATTGTCATCTCTTCATTCTTCACGTGCATAAGTCAATGACATTAGCTATGTTTATCAAGTTGTTCAGTAATTACTATTATCAGTTTCCAAATACACCTATCACCTTTGGCAGTAGCCGAGTGTCTCCTAAGCAGTGTATCACACTTTAACTGTTCATTCCACCTGATTCTGATAACCAATAACAAACTTTTCTATGTACCCAATTGCCTAACCTAGTTGTCTCATGTAAGGAACCCTGGTGGTACAGTGCTTAAGGCATTTGATGGCTAATCAGAAGGCTTGCAGTTCAAATCCACCAGCCACTCCATGGAAGGAAGACTGGGTGTGGTGAATTGCTTGAAGTGGCCCTTCTAGCCATTGTCCTCCATTCTATGATGTTTTGTAAATCCCATTACCCATGCCTGTTTGGGGTGGTGTGATAGTTAAGGTCAGGTATCAGCTAGGCTGGGCAAATGGTAGTTGTCATTCCTTATAATGACTGGCAATTGACTCTGTGAAGGGATTTAGGTTATTTCTGTTGGAGCAACACAGGTGGAATGTATCTTGAGTCCTTCCTTGCTGGAGGGTATAATTCAAATCACCACCCTTAGCTTCCTTGAGGGTATATCTACAAATCTCCTGGGAAGATTCCCCTCCTCTTGCTCTGGTTTTGTGTCTTGGCTCATCCTCATCTCATCCCTGGATTTGGGACAACAGCCGTCATCTGATCTGCTGATTGAGGTTCATCAAACCCTGAGAGTTGGGAGGCTCCTCCAGACCTACTCACGGACCTGGGACTTGCCAGCCTGCCAGCCTCCACCACTGCTATGTGAGACGAACCCTTGGGTGTCTGTGAGTTCTGTGAGGTGTTACAGTGAAATATAGGACCCTAAGACTGGGGAAATTACTTGGAGGAGGAAGAGGAGGAGTTAATGTCTGAAATGATGGAGTGGTACGGTAGTATGGACATTTGGGACATCTTTAACCTCTGCTTCATGGGGACTGGCCTTGTGCTGATCTTTCTGAGAGAAATTATTCAAGCACTGGGCAATCTACTTCCATAAAGATTTACCACCTCAGAAACCCAAAGAGGGTCTATGTTATATAAAATGGTGAAAACAATTTGATATCCATACATGCAGTATTTTTCTTCCTCCTTGGAGCATTATACATTCTAAAGAGATCCTTAGGGACTCCTTAAAGAGGAAAATGTAATTACTTTGTTTACATTATTATTGACACTTGGAGGATCTATTATTCAACATTTAATTGTATGTGCAAGGAGAAAAGTAATCGAATAAAGAGTAGGGCTTGATAAGTTCTATAAATAATGACGATTTTTTTTAAAAAAAATTAAAGGTACACATTCTTCAATTGGACATCACAAAGGGAATGGAGTGTAGTAACATCCTTTTTTCCTTTAAGGATGCTCATTTAGAGAAAGAATTAGGGAAAGTACAAAGCAAATCTCTTATCGTTAGCAGAATATAAACTTTTGGTTTTCATACAATTGTCCTCTACACTTATCTTCAGTAGTGATTCTAGAATCTGATACCCTATTTCCTCTATGTTTAATATTTGAAGTGGGACATTGTCCAAGAATGCCCAAACATACCGATGCCTATCCTCTACCTCTCCAATCCACCTCTGCACTCCTGCCATTTGGTCTCTTGAAAATTCCTCCTGGCCATTTATAAACAGTAGCATAATTTTGTGGTATATTCAATTTTATTGGGTACAAATTCAAGTTTTCCTCATATCTGTTCATGACAAACCAATTCCAGAGTTCTTCAGAACACAGAAGCCTTACCTAGATGGCCACATGCATAGGACATAACAGGACAATACACATTATTTCCATTTATCTACTAAGGAAAACAAAACAAAACAAAACAACACAACCTAGATAAGACAAAAACACATTTTATTAAAGACTTCAAGAGATCTGGGCCAAAGATACCTATTCTGCAGTGAGGTGAACTTCAATTTTTCCAAGAGCATGTGTTCATGTCATGTTTCAGGGTCAAATTTTGGTAATTTTCAGAATATTTCAAACTTTTTCATATTGCGATTGCACACTTCATAGACTACACTATAATATAAACATAACGTCTATATGAACTGAGAAATAAAACATTCGTGTGACTCACTTTATTGTGATATTTGCT